AAATTTCACCATTTTAAATGGTACATGTATAATGTAAATGACCCCCCCTCCCATATCCTGGGAGACCTCATGAAATTTTCGATAATTTATTATTGTAATGGCATTGAAATTTCATACATCCCAAAGTAGTACCATGTTGAATACGACTACATGTACATGTTGTTACCATCTGTAAGGTTTGCATAAACCTTACAGTTCAGGAAGTAATGTACACATGACATGTAGCTCATTCCTCAGAAAGGCTTTCCGTTGTTGACAAATACATGTATAATACTTGAGGGGACTGTAAATTTGGACCCTGTTCCTTTAATAGAAGGATCGACGAAAGTGGCAACACTTTTCCTCACTCTGGATCGGTTTCCCTTAAAGTAACCACACGAGCGGCAAATCCATTTTCACACAGAACCATTGTAAAAAGCTTATTTTCTTATGAAATATTTCTTAATTTAGAAAAATTGGTTCATAAGTAAGAATTCCAATGCTTTTTTTTTTAAGTGAATCTTGCGTAAATTTCGACTGAACTTTTTCAGTTGCACACAACGCGAGCCATCAATGATACTACCTCGTGACGCACAGTTGACAAACCTATTACGTCCCGTACATTTCTGCAACGTCCATATAGCTGTATAGTAAGATGAGTTCGCAGCGTATACTGCGTGCATGCCCTTTAATAATGCATGATCCAAAACTAGGACACAATGACACAATATCAGAGTTCAACCTTAACGCTGGTCTAGTGAAAGCCCTGGTGTGGGTACTGGGTAGTCTGGCAGTCGAGTAAAGCAATAATCTGAAATAAGTGGCAAAATAGTTGATACATGTCCCATAGCTGCTGCTGCGTGCTGGATTTTTAACCAAATAAAATAGCACCTTTTGCAACCAAGACTATTTTGGTGCCTGGTACCAGCCAAGCAGAAGTATGCTGAAGTCCATGAATGCTGCTCACAGCCCGGCCTACCGATAAACTGAAGTAGGCCTGTTATGCCCCAACTACAGTTGGGACAATCCCAACTGTAATACTGCAGTTGGGCTGGCCCAACTATTGTTGACCAATTTCTCAACCTTATCCAGGTTTACAAATCCTGCACTTGACACAGTTCATCTAGGCCTTACATGTCTAAAATTTGGCAATTCATCTGTGATATGACATTGTACACAATAATGATTTTAGAGCATGCTGGGCACATGCACAATGGACCTCTGTGCTGTAGTTGGGCCAGCCGAACTATAGCAAGCTAGAGGGACAGGCCCAACTATAGTTCGGTCCGGCCCAACTATATAGTTGGGACTGATGCTATAGTTGGGGCGTAACTAGCCCCACTAGTCAGCTAATGTGGCACGGACAATCACTCCCTATCTATCCTTAGCCACACATCCATATACGCAATATCATGTCGGCGTATTGAACATTCCGGCGCACCCACCTATCATCGTGGGCGCAATTTCTTTTGCCAACGAACATGATTCTTGACCTTTCCGCTTTCTAAAAACCATTTATTAAATGATTTCACTCGCGTTATTCAGGTATTTTCCAGTCTTTTTGCCTTTATCCATTCAATCTAACGGGCTCGCTCTCTCAGTCGCCATCTTTAACATAAGGTCGTTGAGCATTACGTCACTTGACCCCTCATCGTTTCGATGGCTGTTCCATGTCAAGACATATGTAATACACGGACTGAGCGATAAGATTCTACATGTACCAATGGGCTCTTCCAAAACTTTGGCAGCAGTTTAGGTATCTTGACATGGAACAGCCGTCGAGACGATGAGGGGTCAAGTGACGTAATGCTCAACGACCTTATTTTAAAGATAGCGACTGAGAAAGCGAGCCCGTTAGATTGAATGGATAAAGGCAAAAAGAATGGAAAATACCTGAATGACGTGAGTGAAATCATTCAATAAATGGTTTTTAGAAAGCGGAAAGGTCAAGAATCATGTTCGTGTGCAAAAGAAATTGCGCCTACGATAAGTGGGTGCGCCGGAATGTTCAATACGCCGACATGAAATTGAGTATACGGAGGTGTGGCTAAGGATAGATCGGGAGTAATCTGTGCCACACTAGTGGGGCTAGGGCTTAACACTAACAGGCCTAAGCTAGGAATTCCTAAAATTAGGCCTGTAATTTCTCATTGTATTTGTAGGCCTAAATTTTAACGTTTTTTCAGTAACCTAAGTTTTGGAAATATTTACGATCATTTTTCCATTTACCTGTCCATTTCTTTTCGTTAATCAGCACGCATGCTTCAAGAAGGCTTCCAAGTTCCAATGCAGCAGTTTCACCTGGGCCTACTTGTGCTACCGTGAGAGAACGACAAAGAACCATAGCACTTGTAACTCGCTCGAAAGATACTGCCTAGTCTACTTACAACATGGCGGCAAAACTCTCCAGTCTTGACAAGAGAGGGCGCTTCTCAAAGTGAAAGCGTTTAAGATTGCGGGCGCGGGCCAGTAAATATAATAAACTGCGAAGCCAACAGTGGTAATAAAGTGATACAGTGATGAAATAATACCGTGATAAATGCCTGAACTTCAAGAAATCAGAAAAAAAATATTCAGAAGTTTCGCAAGCGCTCTAAATGTACATCAAATTAAAGCCCAGTTTATGATTTTTCATCTCCTTTTCGAATTTCCATTCATTAAAACCGATGACTTTTGAAGATATTTATTTCCACGGAAGGTCACCCCTACAATGCAGTCGGGAAGCCCAGGCCCTCACCATTTTGACATGTCGATGCCTACACTTCTCAAAAATCATCAGACCGTTTTCAGGCACCGATTTCTTCAAAACCTCACTCAGACACAAGCTGGTATTCTCTTTGCCCGCCTAATTATTTTCTACAAATCTTCAAATTCATGGGCGACAAAATGCTCTATTTTGAAAGATAATTTGAGTGCATACAAGTTGTGATTGACCGCACAAGTAGTTTTCGACCGAAATATACTGGCCTGCATCCTTTAGTAAACCCCAGTTTTTAACTTTTCCCCGAAAACGTGTAAAACAGATGGAAAGAGGTTCCCAAATCAGTTTGAGATGGAAAATTGGAAAAGGTTGTCTCTCTTAACACAAAATAGTTATGGGCCTATGACCTTGAGTAGGGTTGATAGTACTTATAATTGTGTAGTTTGGCCATGTAGGCTAACAACTGTGAATTTCTAACTTTCTCAGCTGCATGCTGGAAATAATCACTTGTGACTGCAAACTGGGGTTAATTTTTGTTGATTACTATCGATTAGGGTTAGGTTTGGCCAACTATAGGTTCGAAGTTCGCACACAGGGTTTGCCTTGGCTTGAGAGTATGATTTCTTGTAAACAATGCCAAAATTGTATTTATATATTTTTAAACCTGTAATTAGGATTTTGTGTCGTTGTTATATACAGATATTTACTAACTTGAACTAATGAAGACCTTCACACATCATTCTATGTTATTAATTTTGATAGTTGTTTCTCTCGAAAACTGTAAATTTACATGTATTATCTCAGCAGGGGGCAGACCCAGTAAAAGCTTCGGCTTTTTGTCTGACCTCCCTTGATACAATTTAATTTATTTTCATTACCTTATATTCTTTAATATTGCGTATAGTATGGGAAATAAATAAACCAAACCAAACCGGGGGTGGACGCGGTACAATACAGATGGATTTTGCTCAAGTTATTACGTGGCGCTAACCTGAACCAAAAAAAAAACTCATCAATAATTATACTCTTTTAGAGTAAAATAAAAGATTCCTCATTAAAGACATTACACATGCATAAGAACGGATACTTGTTTCTCAACTTGGATGACTGCCAGTAAAGATGCCCGGTATATGTACGTGGTTACTTTGTTACGCTCCCCTGTTTTACTGACTGAATGAATCACAGTCCGACGGAGGCAGCAAAATCGGATAGAAAAAAGAGAAGTTATTTTCCATTTTGTTAACATTTACAGTCACGATGATACATTTGCAGATCATTCTGAGCCACATTAAACACCCTGATGACACACTGACATGGGAGGTGCCTGCTTAAATGTGGAGGCCGCCATCTTGGATATAGGTAACAAGCTAGTAAATAAACTGCCATAGCCAACAGTGATGAATAGCCAAACTTCAAAAATCAGGAAAATACTCCTGAGTTTCTCAGGCGTTCGATATGCACACCAAATTAAAGCCCAGATTATGATTTTTCATCTTCTTTCCAAATTTCCATTCATTAACAGATGACTTTTGAAGATATTTATTTTCAGGGAAGGTCACCCCTAGCAGTTTTCGGCCTGCGTCCTTCAGAGCACAGACATAGTTATAAATCTGTTTATGGTTTAGGGTAGATTTCATTCGTGGTTCATTAAAGCATGCAAGCTGGGGGGTCGCCAGGATTTTTTCCAGGGGGGGGGGCAGGTCAACCATTTTTCCCCACTAGGTGCTGGGGAATTTCGTGAGGGCAAGCAAGATCTAGTGGTGAAACAAAAGAAGATATGAAGGGGGTGGGCGAAATTGTCAAAGCAAATCTGTGACTTTCATCCCATCTTCTCTCTTATTTTTATTTACTTCGTCCGTCTCCCTTTTTAATGTTTCCCCCTCCCTTATGCCCCCTTTTTTCCCAAGGGGGAGTGCCTCCTCGCCCTTCCTTCGCAGCGCCAATGATGCAAGCCGACATTACTGGGTTTCGCACACCGACAAAAATTAAATTCATTTTTCCCTTTCGTGCATTTTTGGTGGGTTGACAATTACATTTTTAAGTATTCACACAAAACAAAGTCACCCCTCGAAAGTGATTAGTCCCAAGCCTGCACGCAGCCATTTTCAAATGGCATCCCATCATTATTTTGCTCTGGCAATGGGGAGCATTTTGCATCCGTAATTTTATCAACTTATCTGCCCCCAGATGGAAGCCCCCCCCCAAAAAAAGGGCTTCATCCTTGCTGATCTACAATCTCGCCATTCTTTTTGGCAAAAAGATTCTTTTGCGAAAGAAACCGTGGGAAGCATTTTTCATGCTAATGAGCTTGAATTAGTGCATCCATCTACATCGTCCCTGAGAGTCGAGTCGGTACAACTCAACCTTCTACCTACTCGATTGCTGAGCATTCACTTGAAAAACTTAAGTCGCCCGTTGTCCAACTTCTTGGAACTGAGACTCAGTGTTTGTGAGCCTCTATTGTAGTTGTATGGAAAGGAAAGTGCTGGACCATCTCAAATCCCTCGATACATACCCGACTCCACTCTCCCCCAAAGGGTCTAGGATTTTAAAATTCTCTACTGAGAATTTCTCGATCGAAACAATAGGGCCTACCAATGGCAGGGAAATCTCGATAGTCGGCTTCATTTGAGATAAGTTTAAGAAGATAAATTGTAATTATAAAGTAGAGAATACTCGTTACAAAACACTCGAACAACGCGTGTGTAAAATCTGTAGTCAAGAACCCATCAAAGAATTTAAAATGAAGAGATACAAAAATCAGTGTAATATTTGTTCCACACCTTGTTTAAAGAAAAACAGACAACGATCGACGGGTAAACACGGTAAGTGTAAATACCAATATATCGAATGTGCCCCCAAGGTAAAACTAAAAGAACTTTCGACGAGTGTAAAAAAGGCTTGTGTTGTGAGCACGGCAAATTACAGATCAAGTTGTTAGGTATGTTTCCCGAGAATATGTGAACACTCTTGTAACAAATGTTACTGTTTTGACTGTCCAATAAAAAAGGGAAAAAAGCTTAAACAAATAGATTGTCACATAAAGACAATTTCTTTTACAAATTTTCTTGTGTGTTATAAAAACCACGTCGAGGCCATTAGCAACGGCGTATGTAAGATGGGGCAAATCTATGGTAATGAATTATGTCAGAGCACACAATATACCAATGCTAGAAAAAGAAAAACCCACTGGGAAAGATTATATTAAAGCGATTAGACAAAACCAAAAGCAGTTTAGAAATTTTGCGAGAAAAAGCTCTTACGAATTACTGGACATCGCTCAAATTAATAACTTAAACGTGACGGGGACGGGTTAGAAAGGTCTGTACCTTATAAGACTTCATCGAAGCGATCAAAGCTTACACGATACCCGAATTGTTTAGAGAAGCAGACTTTCGAGAAATCAGACGGTTTGAAGGCAATTTTAGAAATTGGGAACTTGTGCCTCGGTTGTTTAATACAGACCCCGTGCGTTTCTCAACCCCAAGCGAGATATATAGAACAGGCACGTAGGAAGATGCTTCTACCAAGGCGGCCAGAAAATGAAATATCTTTGTAGGGAGTCCAATGCATGTGATTGTGGGTGCATAGCGCGAAACCTGTACGGTGAAGGGTCGGCGAAGTTTTGTAAGGTTTTGTGCTCTGTAGTGTGTGATACATGAGTCTCACTGGAAGCTTTTTGAGCAATCGATATTTTGAAATTTCAGCACTTCAAATCCATGTTTGACAGTTTAAAAAAAGGATAATTTAATTATTGTAAATCTCATGTAACATTTCAAAAAATGACTTATCTTAAACTGCACATTATGAAGGTGATATTTGGTAAAATCGTAACAAAAGTGTCTCGCAGAAGCATTAAGCATAAAATCAAGAACCAAAATTTTGCCAAAGGGAATAATGGTCACCTTAAAATAAGTACTGGAAAGTCTAAACACTCATTAGTGGCGTTTTTCTTTTAAGTAAAAAAAAAGCTTTAATTTTTGTGCACAAATCAGCTGCGATGTTAAAGCTTTGTCTTTGATGACATCACAGACTTGATGACATGCACAAGCTTTAAATCTTTAAGTTTAAAATAGTATGGGAATATGTTTCAGTAAAACTTTTATTTACTTGAGGAATGCCCCCACAATGAGGGGTCATAGTGAGTACAATTTTACTTTGCCTCAACTAATAAAACATCCAAAGAAAGAAGCTTGTGGATATTTCATTTTTTTTATGAGAAGTGATGGCTCTATCCCATTCAGAGACGCTCTCTCTTATAGCTTGATTTGGGAATAAACTTTGGTTAATTTCGGGGAAAAAATGTTTATTCGAGGGTGAGTCATTGTGGAATTTATTTCTACGTGAAGACTGTAGTGGAGCCTCAGAAGGGTAGAAATAATTGCTGATCGTTATTGAAAGTGAATATTAAAATTCCCATTTTCCAGTGTGATCTAAGTAAAATTATCACACACTGCTATAGATACTATAAAACTTCCCCCATAGGGAAATGCAAATTACGGAACGTTTTAAGGGGGCTCGGCCCCCACTATATTTTCAAGGGGTGGGGTACTGGCTCCCTCTCCCCAGTTCCTACGTCCGTGTAGAAGTAAAAGTGAAGTCTGAGCTGAGGAGTTGGGTAGAATCAACTACAAACGGTGATAAAAGTCCAGTTTATTAAAGAAAGGCCAGACCAAGAAGATACTGTAAAAGAAACGTTTA